TGATGATGATGATGATGATGATGATGATGATGATGATGATGATGATGATGATGGTGGTGGTGGTGGTGATGATGATGATGCAGCAACAATTCCCTCCTACTTTTGTTCCTAGCCGCACCCTACTTGTCTGAGTGGACGTTTTGGTCAAGCTGTGTTGGGTCAGATACTGTCCGTACCCGGAGCCGGTCCTGTGTCACTGACCCTCGCTGTCCGGACCAGGAGTGTAGAGGACACACACAAGACAGCGAGCTTTGTCCCTGTAGTGAGTACTTTTCCTTGGGCAAACTTTAAGACTTTAGTAATAAAAGATTTATTGTGAGTACTGTTCCTTGTTCAAATTACAAGCTATTATTAATAAAGAGATTTATCGTTAGTACTTTTATCTTTAAAAAAGCTGTTACGAAAAGATCTATTATGAGCACTTTTACATGATCAAAAACTGCTAAGAAAAGATTTATCGAGTGTACTTTTCCTTAATTAAAAGCTGTTTAGAAAAAAACCCAACTTATTATCAATATTTATCGTTCTTCGACAGCATATTCAGAAACGATTTATTGTGGGTACTCTCCTTGTACCAAAGCTGTTATGAAAAGATAAAGATAAAAGTCCATAATAAGCTCAATCACTGCCATTCCCAAAGTGAATCATTAATTTAGGATTCGTATAACGAAGTTTCAGGACATTTCAGAGTAAGTATTTATGGGGTATACATTTGCGATGATTTTCTTCTATTATGGAGTTGCCATTGATGTCACTATTGTAATAGTTGATGTTTTTGGTGCAGCATTAACTGCAATTGATTGTGTGGTCATTGTGCTGTTTCTGAAGCTATTGTTGGTGGTAGTGGTTGTCATGAAAGTGACTTGTTCATGATGATGATGATGATGATGATGATGATGATGATGATGATGATGATGATGATGATGATGATGATGATGATGATGATGATGGTTATGGTGATGGTGATGATGATGATGATGATGATGATGATGATGATGATGATGATGATGATGATGATAATGATGATGATGACGATGATGATGATGATGATTAATCAGCAATTCCTTCTTACCTGTGTTCCCAGCCGCACCCTACTTGTCTGAGTGGACGTTGTGGTCAAGCTGTGTTGGGTCAGACACTGTCCGTACCCGGAGCCGGTCCTGTGTCACTGACCCTCGCTGTCCGGACCAGGTGTGTAGAGGACACACAGAAGACAGAAAACCTTGTCCTTGTCGTGAGTACTTTCCCTTTTTTAAAGAGTTGTTATGAACAGATTTATTGTGAGTATTTTTCCTTGGGCAAAATAAAAGAGAGTATTAATAAAATATTTATCGTAAGTACTTTTCCTGGGTCAAAATACAATCCGTTACTGTTAAAACATGCATCATAAGTAATTGTCCTTGGTCAAAATATAAGACATTAGTAATATCAGGTTTACCGTGCGTACTTTTCCCTGAGCAAAAGAAAAGATAGTATCAATAAAAAATAATTCATCATGAGTACTTCTCCTTGGACAAAATATGTTTTGAAAAGATTTATTATGAGTACTTTTTCGTTGACTATGAGAAGGCCTTTGACAGTATAGACCGAGCGACACAATGGAAGATAATGAGACACCACAGAATCCCGCAGAAGTTGGTGAACCTCATCAAGAGCATGCACGAAGGGACAAGTTGCAGGGTTGTACATGATGGCCAGCTCACTGACAGCTTTGACATCAAGACTGGTGTGAGACAGGATGCTTACTATCACCGTTCCTCTTCATATTGGCAGTCGACTCGCTGATGAAGGAAACTACCAGAGGACACAAATGGTATACAGTGGACACCATGGACACAGTTCGACGATCTGGATTTTGCAGACGACTTGGCGCTTCTGTCGCACACCCAGGGACAGATGCGAGCAAAGACTTCAGTATTAAAAGTCTATCGGAGTCTGTTGGATTGAGGATCCACCCCGGGAAGTCAAATATTCTAAAGACAGATGCACAACGAAAGGAGCAATAGAAGGAAAGGCACTTGAAAACGTTGAATCCTTCTGCTATCTTGGGTGTATAATTGACAGAGAGGGAGGAACAGGTACTGAAATAAAGTCCCGCATTGGAAAAGCACAGGCTGCTTTCATATCTTTGGATAGGATTTGGAAGACCAGAGATATCTCACTTCGAACA